AGATGACCTTCAGAGGTCCCTCCCATCTTAAATTATTCTATGCCCCTAGGGTTAGCTGGAGATAAAATTCTTCAGGAATGCTTGTTTCATGATAGTTGTTCCCAAATAGTTCTCAAGTGTAAGAGTTCTGAAATCTGTTTTCAGTCCATTCTGTGACACTTAACCTGGTTTAAAAAGAAAAAAAAATAAGCAATTTTTTCTAATTTGAAGGTAAATTTGAAGGTAACCTTCAAACAGCTGCTAGAAACAATTCTAAAAGGACATGAAAATTGACATTTTCTTTTCCAGATGTTTTCCATAAGAGATGGACATTATTGGTTTACTTATGCTTATATTAGATATGCTAAAATTATCTAATATATCTTCCTAATAATTTAATTTTTTTAAAATTTGTTAACACCTGAATGGCAATTTATTAGCAGACAGCTGTAAGGATCTCATGAGGAACAGAGTTTAAGAGGACGGTTGCATTATCAGATCTTTTTTTTTGCTTGGTCTGCACTTCCATTTCTCATTCATTAGATGACTTCAGAGAACACTGTGCCTGAGCATTAAGAGCTCCCACGGTTCAGTGTCTTGCTAATCTATCAGCTGACCTCCTGTCTTAAATTTTCAACCAGTAAACATATTTAAAATGTAGTGAGTAAACCTTTTATTGATGCTACAGAAATTGATTTTCAACTAACTTCGTTATTAAACTATGTAGTTAATATTATCCAGTTCAAAACCCATCATATCATGAGGCAGCATCAGATCTAGATGGTGCTCTTGGGCCCTGCAATAACCAAATGAAAATACCAAGCAAAACCACTCGATGTCAGTGTTGCTTCATCGAGTTTTGCCTGGCACAGCATCACTAATGGTGCTTAAAAGCCCATTTACAGAGAGTATGTTAAAGTCGAGCCCTAGCCATTTGAGCCAGGTCCAGCTTTTGTTATGCCTGGATGCTCAGCTTTATCTTGTGATAATTCTGATTACTCAGAGGTGTTAGTGTCACCATAGTGTGTCCTAAACATCCTGTATGATGAAGGGATGGAGATTTTAGCTTAATCTGTTTTGTGAAGGGCAAGAATCATATCTGTTTCAATTTAGGTCCACTTTCAAGTATTTGATGATTGAAATCAGAAGTACTTTTAAAATTAGGTGTTATTGAAAATAAATGCATTGCATCCAACTCTGGAAGATAAATTGGCAAGCTTTAGAGTTTGTGAATTATTTCTGTTTTTGATGCACTGGAATTTCAGAGGGAGAAGTTATGGAAATATCAGTAAAAAATTATTTGCACACTTAAACGTATGCTTCTTCTGTGGCCTAGTGTTGTGGTTTAACCGCAACCAGGTTTATGTAATACATGTGATTGATACCCTGTTTTTTTACAAATTCTCAGATTTCAGGAATGCTTTTTTGAAGGTGTGGATTTTTATCACTGTTCTTGTGTTGCTCAATTTGTCAGCACTTGCTTATAATTCCGGTAGCTTATGTATTATTCTTTTGTGCTGTGTTCTATGATGTATGAACTGCACAATTTGGTCTCTTTGAACTAATTCTTCTCACTCCTTTTTTAAAATCTGACTTCCATTCCTATTCCCATTCAGCTGTGCTTTCTCACACATACTTGGAATTTCTCACAGGATTTCTCTTGGAATTTTTACCATCTTTCCTAAAGATGGTGACCATTATGTGGCCAAGATTTTTACCTGTCTTTTTTCTTAAATCTTTCATCTAGTAGTCTCTTAATCCTTTAGCCATTCTTATCTGTATTTGACAGAACTATAGCAGTATCAAAACTGAGTTCATAGAAATTGTTGGTCAGGATAGAGGACAAGGATGAATGGAAATCAGTTTTCTCACATTAAAAAAGATGAGGAAAGCTCAATCATTATATACTCAATATATATTCAGATCTAAATCTTATATATATTTTGCCAGTGGCCAGCCAGAAAAGTATTTGCTTTGGATTAATGTTAGCATGTACTTTCCTTTACCCAGTGATGGTAGATGGGAGAATATGAGGAAGTTGAGTTTGATGCACTGCATGCACTTGGGGATCAAATGATGCACATTAGCAGGAATACAGCTTTAGTTAGTCGGCATTAGATTAACATTGGATATTTACAGATATTTAGTTACATGATCTGTCTGCCTGAGAAAACTTACAAAGAGCAAGTCATACTACAGAATCAGAGAATCACAGAATAAGTAAGGTTGGAAGGGACCACAGTGGGTCATCTGGTCCAACCTCCCTGCTCAAGCAGGTTATCCTAGAGCACATTGCACAGGATGGTGTCTAGACAGTTCTTGAACATCTCCAGGAAGGGACACTCCACAACCTCTCTGGGCAATCTGTTCAGTTATTTCCATCATGGTATCTATGCCTGTCATAGGTGTGAATAACTTCATTTAACTTCTATGAGCATATGTAAACATACGTATAGTTTTTGAACTTTCCTGCCAATTTATGTGAAGTCTAAAAGCAGCTCATATGCAAGAGCCCAATGATTCCTACAGAATCTGCTTCCATATGAAGTGGGAATCAGGGCTTCTCTGTCAGAGTTTACCAGGAATTTTTCCTTTTGAGGTCTAGGTTGGAGTAAGGTGTTTGGTTTGGGGTTTTTTTTTAAATCCCTTGAAGCTAAAGCTAGAGAATCAAACTTCCTATCTTCACATATCCACCACATATGTAAACATCCCATATATGCAAATATTAGAGAAGCTGATGAAAATAACCCCCACAGGGGTTACCCCATTTTTTTAGAATCTGTTATAAATCAGGTTTTAAAAGCCCACCAGATCTGATCTATGATGCAATAAATTTCTCCTTTTATATACTATCTGTATTCTAATTTTTGACTATTGGTAATTATCTTTTTAACATTGTACATAAATACACTACTAGAATTATACTTTTGTGCATTTCCAGATAAAAAACCCAGAATAAAAAAAAAACTATTTAATCACTTGAAAATAGGCTTTACTTATATAGGAGCATCAAAAAAGCTAATTGTGAAACATCTAACATTACAACAATGTGTGTGAATACACTGACTTAGATGTATAAAATCAAAGGTTCCTCATGCTTATCCTTTGGTGTTCTAGAAAACTGAGTTCTATATGCCTGTTCCAGAGCAGAAGAGGGTCTCATAGTCATGATAGCTCAGGAACATTGTGACCAAGTTCAAACAATGAAAACCTGCATAGTTTGGGAGTGTATAGATTATAGGTTTGTAGCTAATAAAAACCAGTCAATGAGAAAAAGTTTAAATATCATGTGTGTGGTACAATATGTGTTTCAGTTAGGATACTGATGTGTTTTAGGAAAGTAGTAGTTTTTTATGTTTCTTTAAGATTCAAATGTTGGAATATTGTGTAGTGAGGTATAGGCTTGTTGTTATACATCTGTCTTCTCTTAAAAATTTTGATTTCTTTGGGAGTTTGTAAATTAAATGTTGCCTTGTGTTATTGCTAACTAAGAGTACTTTATTAATTTCAGAGTTACAAGGAACAGTGTTTTTCAATAGTGATGATATTATCAACTTCAGATTTATTGATACTGCAGTTTTTTTACTTATCAAAATAATTGTTGGAGTAAAAAAGTTTCCACGCAAATTCCACATCTCTTGTAAGATATTTGTACTCACGCATGCACACACCCAAAGAGAGATACCATCCCTTGTTGTTGGTGAGGGACAAAAGTCTGTTGATATTGCTAATCCTAGGAGTTCAGATGCTAATCTAGGATTGATGAAAACTGTCCAGATTTACTGACTGTGCAACTGTGAGGTGGGAAAATCTCAATTACAGACTTTTCCAAAAAGCTTCAGCATTTTGATGCAAGAAGTTTGAAGAATGAAAACTATGTTCTTGTGTGTTTAGTGATGGTTCTTTGGTTTTCTAATGTTTTTTTGTTTGGTTTTTTTTTCCTGTTTCAGAATATTCAGGGCTTCTAGCAAACAATGATTTAAACAAACAAACAAACAAAAAACTTGTAGTTTCTTTTACACAAGTACGTTTTTGAGTACGGTTTTGCATATGCATATCTATGTGTAGAAATGGATTTTGATTTTTATTTCCTAGTAAATACTATTATAGTTAGAGGTACTGAACATTTAATCAAAACTAAGCAATACCTGACTGCTGAGTAACTCTCACTCTACTTAGAAAGATTCCTGTCCACTTCTGGCCACTGAAAGTAGGTAAAGATCTGTTTTGCTAAACACTTGGTATACATAAATACTTTGATTATGAAGTCCTTGAACTGCAATTTCAAATTAAAAGCAGGGGGTCACACACACAGAAAACGAAAACCACAAACCATATGATGAATCTTGCATTTTAACTTAAATCTCTTTTCTATTCAGAAACACAGATAACTGAGAGGAAGGTCCACTGTGTCCTTGCTTCATATCAGACAGGGCGTTTAAATGTTTTAACATTTAAAGTTCTTCCACTCTCTTATCACTTTGTGTCTGAGCACTTTGTATCCCACACAAGATATGATGTTATTACAAGAACAGAAGTTTCTTGGTGAACTATCTTTGCTGAGAAAGCCTTTGTTGGATGGACAACCAAGAGCAGAAAGGAGTAGCTTTAAAGAAGAATGATTGTCACAAATGTTTTTGGCACGTCCCATGTGAAGCTGATAGTTTGCAGTCCTTCACTGCACTTTGAGCTCGTTACTCTTCAGTCTGTCTTCAGCTTACAGAGAGAGTCTGTGTATATTTTCAGCAGGACTTATTGGTACCTGATGTTCTGCATTTACTACATAAACAAGCTTTTTACTGTCTTTTAAAAGACAAAATGTTGATGGAGTAAGACAAGTTTTCTATTATGAGCTTTACTGAGGACTTAATGCCTTCTACCTAAGTCCCGAAAAACTCCCCCCTGTGAGAGGCAAGGCTGCTCTCCCAGGCTTGGGAGGGAGAAGCCGGGTTCGCTGGGCACTTCCCGCTCAGATTAGCATAGCCCAGCCTATATTGCACACACTCCCAGTAATACCTCGTTTTGCCACTGGAATGAGGCCAAAAGCACAAGCATTACAGGGATATAAAGCAGGAGGTTACTGGAAAGAATCATAAACTAACGTGAGATGAGACCAAATTTTTTCAAATAGCAGAAAATGTGATCTTTGCTGTAAACAGTTCTTGCATTTCATGTAGCTGTTTATATTATTGAGGTTTTTAATAAGTGTTTTCATTGAGTATAGTTACAGAACAGCTGCAGAAATCTTAAGTGCTTCTGTTCATTTTTTTTTCTCTGCAGTTTTGGAGCTGAAAAATCTCAGAAGAAAACTGGAGACTAACACAGATCAGTATCACTCCTCAACTGTGCACCCTTCTGAGGCACTGCTTTTGTGGGGTGGGAATGATGACAGGGGCAAAAAGGAAAAGAAGCACAGTCTGGAGGAAAATCCAGGCTGTTCGCTTTGAAGATATCAAAGCCTGGTGTATGAGAAGGCTGCCCATCTTGAAATGGGTGCCCGTCTACAACTGGAAAGAAAGTTTGGTTCCTGATACAGTTTCTGGGATGATGCTAGCCATCCAACAGGTGACTCAAGGTACAGCTAACTCATTTCAGATTAATATTTAATATTATTTGACTGAATTGGTCTGGTCTTCCTTTTCTTTTTTATTTTGTCTTTCTTGTTTAATATTATTATAAAGCTTTGCTTAAAACAATGTCATGCTTACAATATTAAAAAAAAATGTATAGTCTTAACTCTTAATGTGTATATAGTGGATGTGCAAATGTGGACAGAAATGCATTGTGTTATTGTAGTTAATTTCTGTGGAACTTTACTGTGTATCCCATCCCTCTGATGATTTTTCAAGACTTAATATAGCAGATAAGAGAGCAGTAACTCGATTCACACAGAATATGGTTATATACAATGTTTTGTCAGTTAAGTGACCACCTTTTTCTCCTTTCCTTTTTTGGAAAACAAAATATATCTGAATGATAATTGCACTATAAGATATGCTATTCTGAAAAAAAACATTTGCATGATACTATTAGTTGTGAATGTCCAAAACACAGCAGGAAAAATGAACAACTTTCTGGGCATAAAGGGTGCTCCTGCCAGAGACATTACCCATGGAGCGGATTTGCTGGCATCTGTGGTTTGTGTGTGGATACCACATCTCTTGTCAAGCAGCAATACAAAGTAGAGGTGGAGCTAGACTACATTTGGCAGCATAAAAAAAAACTAAAAACAGTGAAGGAAAAGGAAAAACTCCCCAAACCAAAAGCCTCCACAATGACCTGCAGAAACCTTAAGGCCTGGTAATCTTGGTTAATAAAGTAATTGCTACTTGGAAACAAAGGCTTTTGTCAGTTTTTGATATGTCTTTTATGGTGTCACCTTCTTATGGCAATATCTTATATTTGTCTTAGGCAAATCACAGCTTCTTATCTGCCTCAGATGTACTTTAACTCCTTCCTTTATGTAAATGACATACATTGTTTCTGAACAGTCATATTAGCTATGCTTAGCTATCATTCATGTTGTTAAATTACAAAGGCTCCTTTAATTGAATTATGCTGGAGCTGGAAACAACTGATTTGTCTAAGTATTTGTTCTTTTAAAGTAATTAGGAACAGCTGCATTGGCTTGATTTAACTTTAAGAACCTTAATACCATAACACTGCAAAGTATCTAATTTCCCCGGTATGTGTGTATACAACAATTGTAATTAAAATGCTGCTAATAACAGTATGATGAAATTCATCAAAAATGCTAAAGAGCAAACAAGTTAAACAAAAAAGTTAGACAGCATTTCTGCACTGCTGGCAGTTTTAGCCAGGATTTTCTTGTTTGACTCTTGTACCAAGAAATTGTTTAATGTAACAGATAAATTTAAGGAGATCCAGTGAAGACAGAAAACACTGGTTTATGCTTTCTAGATTATTTTTAAGTACTCTAGAAATAACTTTATCCTTATTTTATGCTGTTTAAAAAGCAGTACATTCACACCCATCCTTCCTGTTTTTCCTTTCTCCGCTTGCTACTTCTCAAGATTTTGGAATGATTTTAGGGAATGAAATAGGAAGACAGCTAGATACAAAAGAATTTTATCGTGTTTGTGGTGCTTTAATTTGAACACAACATATTAATTTGGACCATTAGCTCCTTCCCTAGTGTTGCAAGCATTCCAGTTATACTTTCACAGAGAGGCTTATAGATCAAAAAATCCCATTTTTTATATAGCACAGAGTGAAAAAATCCCAAATTTTGAGAGGTCCTATTGTGATTCTTTTCTTCCACCCACAAGATAAAACAAGAAATTTTGTAATGAAATGAAAGGTAGAAATTCTAATAAAAGTAGAAAAAAAGGTAACCTGTGATAATTGACTTGTAGAGCACAGTATCATTTGGTGTTGCAGCAACAGGTTTAAGCAAATTCAAATACATTAAAATAAACTTGAGTTATGGAAGTATATGGAAAAAATGTACAGCTGTATTCACATGCAACAGTTTTCTGAGTGAGAAAAAGGACAGAGAGTAGTCCAGTAGCTCGAGGATAATTAAGAAAGGCCTTCCAACTGATCTGTGTTTTTCACAATTTCTACTGTGTGGTTTCTTACTCATCTGTCATTGGCCATGTTCAGACTATTCAGATTGGCAACTGCTCTGACCTGGTGTAATGTGTCTGTGTTCCAGCATCTAATCTAAATTTTAGACAAAATTGCTGGCTTCCCTTTGTAAAGTAAGGAAGAAAAGATGAAAGTCACTGTCCTTACTGTGTCATAGTGAAAGCAACAAAGATAATGCTTATCACTCTTCCTTGCAACATTTTCAGAAATTGCTTCTGGAGAATTCATATGTAGCAGTAGTTATGTAGCAGTAGTTTTTGGTGTCTGCCTCATAAGTGAGAAAAACAAAAGAGCAAATTAATAGAAATATCAGCAATCAATGCTCCAAAAAAGTCTTTGATAAAGGTATAGGATAGTTCAGAATAGCTATTCTATGACATCTTTTATTTTGGATAAAGTTTGAAAGAGCTACTACCATTCACTTGTGATTTGCAGCACCAAAATGATTGTTTTCTAAGTGTGACTTAAGCCTTCAAACTTCTGTAAGATACCTTCAAGTTAGCTACCTGAAAATTGAAACACTTGAGCTCACATATCGATTTATATTTAAAAATAATTCCATCATGACACTCATTAACTAGAACTATATCCCATGGTAACAGAGTCTAGGAATGGTGTAAGAAAGGAATGCCACCTGAGTGTTTAATTGTCTTTACTTCCATGTACAATGTGGAAGAAATAGATCTTTAGAAGACAAGGTGTTACCTTACCTAACACTGAACTAAGGTGATACCTGTAGGGAGATGGGAAGGAAAGGTGTGGGATTATCATGATGTGCTGCTTGGCATTTGTGATGAAAGAGTCTTTGCTGAAACCAAGCAGTCATTCTTCAAGTGTTCCTATGGTTGTTTCATTGTCTGCTAAAAATGCCAAAAAAATATTAATTCATGAGTCCCAAAATTCACTGCTGAGCTCTTGTGTCCTGTTTACTTATTGAGACAATACTTGTATTGTCTCTGTGTATGTCCTCTAATTTTAGAGTACTTGATTTAATTCCACAGAATATGGAGAAGGAAGTGTCAAATATAATTTTGTTTCTAAAAATGTTATAAAATTATCCAGTAGGAACAAGAACCTACAAGTTCTAATAAAAAAAAAGCCCTTTCAAAACCACTAATTACTGGAAAGATTCAGTTGGACTTTCACGGTCTCAGTCAGCCACAAGTCAAAACCAGTAAAGGAAATCAGGCTTCATCAGTTCCAGATATTTAATATTAGTTCCAACAATAATTTAATAATACAGAGCTCAATACCTTATTTTTCAGCCATAGAATCCTTAATCATACTCTGATACCTAACATTGAAGAAATAACCTTTGAATGTAAAATAGACATTGTCATCCAGTCTAGAAGTTTGCTATATACTTTCACAGGCACTTAAGAAATTTGAGCTTTTATGTTTCGGTAATCACTACTTAATTTGTCTCATATTTTTTCTTAAAAACCTGTAATGATAGACTAGAGCAAGATATCTCTAAATTAGCAAAATAGATTTATTAATTTTAATTAATTTTCTTGTTGGACTGGTATTCATCTCTCTCTTCCCTTTCCTTTTAAAACTTATTAATACCCCATCAACAGTCATTCTATAAAGATTTTACTTTCCATTTCATTCTTTATTCCTCTCCCTTGGAAACAAATTCAATTGCTAGGTCCATGTAGATGTCTCATAAGTGCCTAATATTTTTTTTTACCTTTCCAAACTGAAATTGTGCTAATAGAACAAAGGGTCTGCAGTGCAAGTAACTACTTCTCAGCAATCTGCTTTTGTGTTCGTTACTATACAATAAAGATCTAGTTAATAAGAGTTAGTGAACATTAAGCTATTAGAGAGCATCCAAAGGAGGGCAACGAAGATGGTGAAGGGCCTTGAGGGGAAACCGTATGAAGAGTGGCTGGGGTGACTTGGTCTGTTCAGCCTGGAGAGGAGGAGACTGAGGGGACACCTCATTGTGGTCTTCAACATCCTCATGAGGGGAAGTGGAGGGGCAAGTACTGATCTTTTCGCTCTTGTGACCAGTGACAGGACTCAAGGCAATGGTATGAAGCTGAGTCAGGGGAGGTTTTGGTTGGATATGAGGAAAAAGATTTTTCACCCAGAGAGTGGTTGAGCACTGGAACAGCCTCCCCAGGGAAGTGGTCACAGTACCAAGCCTGCCTGAGTTCAAGAAACATTTGGACAGCACTCTCAGGCACATGGTGTGATTCTTGGGGATGGTCCTGTGCGGGGCTAAGGGTTGGACTTGATGATCCTTATGGGTCCCTTCAAACTCAGTATATTCTACGATTCTGTGCTCGTGAGAGGTGGTGAATGACTGCGTTTACATCACTATTTTATATTTCGTTCACTTGACTGAGAAGTTTTCTTACTTTTGCTTTTCTGATTCTCTCCCCTATCCTTTGAGGAGGAGCGAGTGAGTGATTGGCTGGGTGGGTACTTCACTGCTGTCTAGAATCAACCCTTCACAAGTAGGATTCATGCAACTGAATCTAATCATCTGCTTTATCTAATCATCTGATTATATTAGTAGGATTTCCTTTGAATGTAACAAGGGATTGGCTCAGGGGTAGACACTGATGAGTCAGGCATCAAAGTTTAGGTGAGATATGCCTCAGCCATTATATCTTTAGCATTGTGGTAAATAAATAGTTCTTGTTCAACATGGTTAAAGACAGGTCTTACTGTTTTGTTTTCTGTAATTTATCCATTGACTTGTCATAACAATACCAGAATTATTTATGGCTTTTTCATGTGACATGAACACCCCATACTCATATGAGAATACTTTGATCAAGCTGCATCTGAATTTTTCTTGATTTCCTTACATGATAATTTTAAGATGCATCATGATGCAGTCTTTCCACCTAGTTAAATTTCATAAAACTGTCATCATGTTTTTTTCTATAGCCTTTGGAACATGTACTATAGTCCCATCATATCTCTTCTGAGTGCAGCTGCTTAGCT